TTGGCTATTTGGTGATTAAGAACTTGTGGAGCCATCTATGTGTAAATACTATAAATAAACATGTATCAAAGTGGGCATGGCATCTATTCTTGCCACGAGCGGCGAATGGGTTAACAGGTATATATTCTGGCAAGATAAGAGCTAGCTGACCTCACTGGCATCTTATTGCCTAATAGAAAACAATTACAAGCTCTAAGCTCACTGCATATTGACAGATGATTGTGGCCTTTACTGAACTGTGAAGCACTAAAGCCTTAATCTATGTTGCCCTATCTTAAACAACTACCATGTTTTGACAGCCTTTGAAAAAGTTGTTAAGATAAAAGAAAAAATACTGCATGCACATCATTCCAATTACAAGACACCTTTTCATGGAATTATCAAAATATCAGTCATATTCCTCTGGTATATGGTTATATGAAAAGGACACCAGAAGACTACATTCTTCATTGTTGTTTGAATACTCAATGTTTGAATAGACTTTTACATTATCTCTTTATCTAAGCTAAATGCAGAAGGGAAATGTTTGTTCACAAGGCTATACAGGAAGACATCAATGAACATGAACCTATACCCAGTTTCTGAACCTCAGGCAGCAAAAACATTAAGATGCAGATATTTAGAAAAAAAAAGAGATCTCTCATTTGAAGATCAAAAAATCAAAGTAGATGGAGAGAGAGAAAAAAATCTTATCTTATCTTCAGTACAGAGCCATCAAAAATATATATATATATTTAAATTACCCACAAAGTGTCCAAAGTTAGACTGGGATTACACTAAGCTTGGATGAATCTAGGTTTAATAAACGACTAAATATTTTTTTTTTTTAAGTTTTGGTAAGCTTAGACGTAAATATTACATCCAATGGTGATTGAATCTACAACTGCAAACAGGCTTGGTCAATTAAACCTTTTAATACCTGCAACAAGTACCTACTAAAATAATATTATAATAACACGCACCTGTGTCAAAAAACGGCGAATTTCTAGAAAAAATAAAGTATCATGGACCGAAATACACATGTAATTACTGAAAGTTTAAGGACAACGTTTTCGAAGGATCTCCGCTGTGTTTACAAATTCTCGTCATATCTCGCGTCGTCTCGTGCCTTTCGAGAGAGCGGTAAGGTTATTTCAAATTAAAATTATCTTCCACTGGAAAATAGGTACCGTCGATACAGTGAATAATATCTACCCTGATTAATATTTCTTTCGAATTATTCTCTTCAATTAATTTGGTTTCACCTGAATTGGCAGCAGAGACCAAGACCTTAATAAGTAAGGTCTCGTCACTTCGTAAGTCTGCAGGCTTTGGGTGATAAGGCCTGTGACGTCACTGTGCGAGGCCGATAACAGGGGGGGGGGGTAGAGAATGGTAGGCTGGAGAAAGGAAATTATAGAAAACAGTAGGAAAGTAAGAAAAAAACATTAAAGTAATTTTAGATGTTGGCTCATTCCGGTGATTTGCACACATTGGACTGATTTTACATGTGATTGACGGCTATTATTTGTGGATATATATCGTATATTTTACTTGTTTTTATTACTATATTTCCTCGTGCTGCACCATATGTATGTTGCAATGAAGAAGTAAAGAAAACAAACAAGACATGATGTAATGTACTGTGGACTTCCTCTCTCTCTCTTCTAGTATGGTACAGCCGTTTGTGTCTTGAAGTGAAGTGTCGTGGAGTTGATAGTTAAAGTTGATACAGCTTCAATACTTTATTCTGCGGTAGCGTGGTAGGTGGGATACAGAGGTCAGGCGTGGCAGAGTCGCCCAAGGAGGAGCGAGGCCTCGTGCCACGCCCGCAGGCGAGCGGTCTCGAGAGAGAGCTGGAACTTGAGGTGTTGACCGAGCCGATGCTGAGGGCAGAGTGATTTCGGCTCTCCGAGATTTCAAATGGTTCACAAATATTCACTAAACATAAGAATATGGCAACTTTGTTCTTTCGTGGGAAATGTCAATACTGGCCCTCTGGTTTACAACAGGGTAAGGGTCTTGTGGTCACATGTTAGGTCGGTTACACTGGGTAAGACAATACAATTATACAGTCAACATCAGATAACTACAATATCAGCAATAATAATGATTACAAACATAGTGATTGAGAATAAAGATTTTTTTACAAACATTTTGAGTATAATCAAGATATAAATTAACATGTAGTTATAGAATATTCGACGATAAGGGTCGGAATCGTTTGCTCTGTGGGCACTTCACTATTGTCGTTATTTTCTGGGCGCAGGTCAAACTTGGCACAGTCGATTACCACTAGGGTCTTGGGTACCGTGGGAAGTCGAGGGGGAAGTAGAGGGGACAGGTCATTAAACATGAGATTTGAATGATAATAGTGTTTTATTCTGTCAAGAGATATATAAAATCCAAACGCTTTCCATGAATTTATTTTAAAAAGAGATCATACAACTAAGACATCACAACACACATGGCGTGATAATTATAAAGCCAAAATGGAACTAATCGGCTTATCGTTGAACCTCAAAGCTTTACGCTAAGTGACGTCATGCGCGGGACGGATGGATCTGAGTAGCTCATTCAGAGTTAAGCTGCGTTCGCAACTCTGTCTTGCTCGACAACTTGTCAGGACCAACGGGCACTCCGAGGCCTTCAATTATCCAAAATGCAACCGGCTCTGAAGTAAGCTTTCACTATTTTATTCACTGACTTCTTAATTTCGAGGTCAGTGATCATCTGCAACTGACACACACTAAAATACACTAAAATAAACCAGAAATAACAACAATAAAGGATCATATAATTACCAATGCCTTATGGTTACCTACAACATTATTTTTTTTACACACAAATACCATTGTGACATCAGCTCGTCCTACTCGCAGGGCACGAAATGAACAAATTGTTCCGGACGGCAAAGCCACTGTTAGGTGAGGATGTGATCGCAACTGCATGAAGAATAACATCGTATTTACGATTTAGCATAATAAATGTGTTGCTGAATCCCCCTCTGCAACCGAAAGGGCAAGCTTCAGTAAAGTCAAAGTTGGCCCCACGTCAAAACTAAAGCAGGTCAGTGCTTGTAGAGGGACACGCGCACTTCTCTGCGGGATAATTCCGTTGGGGGTCAAATTCTTTCCACTCCGACTCTGACTCCAACTTGCTGATGTCAGCATGCTAATTACCAATTGAGTCGACTGAGGAAGTTTCAACATCACGGCTCAAAAATTATTCATGCATACGTTTGAAGGACTTTATTGTGTATCCTTGTAAGTGGAAAACTTAACACTGTCCTGTACCACGTTATGCTTCTCAACTTAACACAGATTTAAAACCTACCAGAACCCAAGATGAGACAAAAATTCCACCCATCACTCAATTTACGAGCAAACCAACTGCTTTTTTTGTCCAAGAATAAAAGATTTTGGACTTTGAACCAAGCCTGTCATCTGTCACGAAACTTTCGTGAGAACTTTCCCGGCTTGCTCTCCAATCTAGAGCAGGGCAGAAATGTTAACAAATTAAAAAAAATCTAGGCTATAGAGATTAGAAAAAGGTAAATTGATATTGTTGGTAACAGTGAGTGTTATATTAATACAGTTACATATCAAAAGTCAAAAGAGTGGACAAGACACTGATCTCATGAGTTGCTTGAGATGGTCTGCTGTCGTTGCGAAGGACGTTGCTGTTATTTCCACAAGGAGACAGCCTAAGGAGAACCCAGCACTGTCTGGACCTCACATTCGAGAAAAAATGTAGGGCTGGGCATCTATGCTGGCTATTTTACACCCTCGCTGAAGGCATAGTCTTGGTTTCAGTCACGAGCTCATGTATCCCAGAGAAAAGGACATGTCACACAACCAGCATAGCATGCCCAGTGACAATCTCTACCTCCTGACCACTGCTCGTGCTCGTCGTGGAGAAGACACTTTGACTGGGGTAGACCCGTTAATAAGAATTGGGTTTCCAACCGTGTTGGCATCAGTGGAAATGATATTTCTGATATACCAGCTGGGATTGGTTGGAGGCAACCACTAAATGCGATGGCCATTCAACCAAGGCAAAACTCCTGAGACGCAGAGAAGCAGCTGCTGGACAGGTCGGTGTCTTGCAGCTGCACGGTGAAGAAGCCAGAATACATCTCGGATCGGTACTCAGATGCCACTTACTATGAGTCCCTGGCGCTTTGCAAGATAATTTAATGGTGCTAAAGCCATTCTACACAGAATACGACTGGCTAACCACTGTGTGTGGCAGATTATAGATACTACCGCTTATGCTAAGCACCGATGTGTTTAATGGCGTACCGGATGTTACCTTGTTGCAAGAGTGCGTTATTTGTGCCTCCTCAGTTAATAAAGTTGTTATGAATAAATTGAGAAAGCCTCATCTAAATTTTCTTTTATGTGTCGCCAATGCGTAGATTAAAGTTAGTGATATCTCTTCCCGGGTTAGCCCGTGCTCGTGCAGATCCGTTCAAAGGTTACAATGTTACAAAACTCAGCTATTAAGAATTCCCTCGTGTCCTGCTGGAAGTGTGTATGCTCTTGAACTGTGAGACTGTCTGTAGTTAGACATATTTGGTGCAACCATTTCTGCCTCCTGACGTAGAGCCCATCCGAAGAAATCATCCACAGTTTAAAGATATATAAAGAGAGATGCAGAAAATTGTCCAGTGGTTTATATAAAAAAAATCATCACACTCAACCTAAAAGTCAGATTATGTTTTGCTTTGAAATATTAAATGATAATCTAAATAAGCCTTATCGGTCAACTCCACTAGAACATTCTTATACATTTATAGATTTTTGCAGTTCAAAGGATTTAATGTATGAAAATTCGCCATGAAAATTCTTTGGTCCTGATATTCTAACTATCAATAGCTGTGCATACAAGGGTTACTTTTTTCATTAAATCAGTGTCAGTAGGATAATAATACGTAATTGGGTAAAGATAAACGAATATTTATTCAAATAACTTGAAATCCGTAGCACTCACTAGATATTATTATTTTGACAGAAAGGTTACAACTCCTCCTTTCCTGTAAAAGAAAAGAAAAGAAAACATAATTTGTATATATTCTATTGATGCGTTGGCTGATAAATAGGCATGGAAGACATATCTAAACGCTGCATTATGTATGATACTCCCTTCCTCTGCCCCTCCCTTCTCTTTCTCTCTCTCTCTCTCTCTCTCTCTCTCTCTCTCTCTCTCTCTCTCTCTCTCTCTCCTTCCCTCCCTCACCATCCGCATTTTCCCTCATCCTTCCCTCTCCCTCTACCCCCCTCCTTCACCCCTCCCCCCTCCCTCCCTCAACATCCGCTTCTCCCTTCCTCCCTCTCCTTCTCTTTCTCCTTCTCCCTCTGCTACTCCCTCTCCCTCCTTCCCTCTCCTTCTCCTTCTCCTTCTCCCTCTACTTCTCCTTCTCCCTTTTCTCTCCCTCACCATCCGTATTCTCCCTCGCCGCGACGACCTGCGAGAACAACTCCGGCAGGTGTTCCTTCAGCGCCTCCTCGTCCGCGCCTTCGAGATCCCCGTCAATCCAGCGCCTGACCTGAGACTGCGCCGAAGACACCATGCGGTCCTTGGCTCGCCCTAAGAAGGCTTCTCTGGGTCCGGAGTCGCCCTGAGGAGGGGAAGGGGGGAGGGGGGAGTGATACTGGAGGGTTTGGATTAACGTGTACGTGTATGTCGTGTGTATGATGATAAGAAATATTACTACAATAATTTAGGGTTTGGTTGGCGAGCTCTGGTGATTTCAGTAAAATTATGACTGTTTATTCTGCGTCTAAATTACCCCCTGGGTGCAAGGGATGGCCGAGGGTAACATCCGCTGTCAGAGCGGGATTTTAACGCGGGTCAGCAAGACTGCGAGAGAGAGAGAGAGAGAGAGAGAGAGAGAGAGAGAGAGAGAGAGAGAGAGAGAGAGAGAGAGAGAGAGAGAGAGAGAGAGTGAGTGAGTGAGTGAGTGAGTGAGTGAGAGTCAGTAGGGGAGGTAGGTAGAGAGACCGATATAGACTGATACACACACACACACACACACACACACACACACACACACACACACACACACACACACACACATATATATATATATATATATATATATATATATATGTATTTATATATAGATAGATAGATAGATAGAAATATAGATAGATAAATAGATAGATAGAAAGATAGATAACTGGATAGATAGATAGATAGATAGATAAAGAGAATTCAATCACGAGAATACTCATGAAAATCACAATAGTAATGCAAATTGTAGTCATAATGAATGTAAATATTGTCAGCAACTTACCATAATCTCAGAAGAAACGAATCAACAAAGCCATTAACAGACAAAGCAATATAATACACCCACAATGAAAACAACTTACCTGAACCACGTGCACCCACTGCTCTGTCCCCATGTCCCTCAACTCGTCCAGAAGGTCATCCAGCTGCTGCGTGAGTGACCTGACGCTGGCCCGGGTCAGGTAGGTGGCGTCCAGCTGGTTCAGGAGACCATCTGCGCTCGCGTCCAGAAGGCTGAAGATGGAAGCGGCGAGGGCCTGGCACTCGGGCGGGCAGTCGACTAGGTCAGGCAGAAGAAGGCGGTCCTGTGGGAAGGCGATGGAGTGCAAGGGATTTTATTAAGTGTAATTTTATGGCGTCATTAGATGTTATTGAATATGAGATGGTTCTTTTTTATTTTATTTTTATTTTATTTTTATTTTTTCAAGTTTAAGTGAATCATTCACTTCGTAACTAAGAGTTGAAATCGGTGATTAAGCTCATTTAAAAGTAAGATACATCTGATGCAGACACGAACTAAAAATTCACAGGTAAGTTGCATGAGCAGCACGATACTGAAAATATGTAAAAGCATACTAAGGGACAGTGAAAAAGGGTAGACAGAAGCAGAGGAGAAATAAAAAGGAATAAGAGAGAGTGAGAGAGGGAAAGGGTGGAAAGAAAATAATGGGAACATAAGAAAGGCAGACAGGAAGATAGGCAGAAGCACACAAACACAAACGAGCAAAATCCGAAAGAATCTAGAGAAATTCAGAGCAATCCAGAGGAATCCGGAAGAATCCTGAGGACTCCAGAAGAATCCAGAAAATTCTAAAAGGATCCAGAAGATCCAGAGTAACCCAGAACAATCCGGAAGAATAAAGAGTAATTCAGAGAAATCAAGAAGAATCCAGAGGAACTCGAAAGAATCCTGAAGAATCCAAAAGCTCCGGATTAACCCAAAGGAATCCTGAAAAATCCAGAGGACTCCGGACGAATCCACCTACGATCCGAAAACGCTCGTAGAAGGCGTCGAAGGAGAGTTGGTGGCCTGAGAGGAGGTACTGGCCCAGGAGGTGGGGGAGTGGGTCCTGCTCGCCCCACAGGACCAGGGGGGGCAGGGGGTCAGTGGGCAGGATCTCCCACAGAGTCGCAGGACCTGTCGACTTCCCCTTCTTGGCGCCAGTCCTGGTGTTGGTTGATCTATAATAATGGTTTAGTTTCTTTACGAAGTTCTTGATTGAC